CTGGCTCCTGATGCCTTTGAGGATAGATATTTAAGATCCTGGGAATATGGATGTCTTCTTAAAGAAGCCATTAAACTGGTTGATATGCTGCAAAAAAGACACCTGACCTGTGTAGTGCCCTCAGTCTTTGCTGCTCACTCTAGCAAAGATGAAAGACTGTGATGGATTTGACTTTGCCAGTTTTGGCCCCAAAGTGCCTTAAAAAAATTCTCCTATTTATACATTTATTCTCCATAACCCTGAAACCTGAGTATCTCTGTTCCATTATAAATTATTATATCCATCCATCCATACATTTTCTTCCGCTTATCCTCATCAGTGTTGCAGGAGGGGCTGGAGTCTATCCCGGCTGCCATAGAAAGGCCATGGTCAGGTGACAGATTTAGGACTTCTTCTTTTTTTATAAGTGTCTTGAAAAATATTATTCCTTCTAGGCTGGACAACTGCAGCTCATTGTTGTAATTTAGGTTGTTGAAAGGTTCTTTAAAAAGCTGTAGAGTTGATCCAGTATGCTGCAGAGAAAGTATTCTTCCTGTTAAAAGGGTGTTTTTCCTTCCCATTGTCATCAAGTTCTTCCTAATAGGGGGTTGATTGACTGTTGAGGTTTTCTCTCCAGGACTTTTACCTAACAGTATAAACCATCTTGAGACAACAGTTGTTATATTAATGAAAGTGAATTGAAATTGAATTGGATTGTTGCTGCCTCTGCCCTTATTACTTCAGTATGGTATTATCATTGTTGAGCTCCCAGCGGCAGCCCATGTCTCAAGCATTTTTTTCAGCAGTTCAATGAGGTTAGCTCTTTTGTTTAATGGGAGCATTTAGTGGAACCAATTTGGGGTTTTGTTAGTAGGATTAAGAACGAGGAAGTCATCTTTCTGAGCCAGAAGCACAAAAAATGTGTTGAACTGTTGAGTCAATTACAAGAAAGGGGAATTGGAGAGGAGGAAAAAAAGGACTAAAATAATGAAAAAGTATAAAGCATTGTTTTCAGTTGTGTGTTTTCCTACGCGTCGGTGTGTGAGGCAGGGGAGCCGAGCTTTGCTGTGTTCGCTGTGTACAATAACACCAGAATCTGCTATCATCCCCGGTATGACTGCCTGTGGAACAAACATCTTCAAAGGGAAACACGATTGTTTACTGTCAGTCTGAGGACCAGCATGGGGTGAGAAGACATGAATGGGGTCCACAGAGAAGGAGGAGATGATGTGGGGGTGAGATAATGGAGGAGGAAATGAAGAAGATGGGAACGGCAGAGCGTGGAAAAACAGAACCACGGCTCCAAGGAGGAAAGATGAGTGAAGGATGCAAGAGTTGCTCCAAATGTGAGATGCCTGCAAGTGTATACTTAACATTTTTGAATAACATCATCTATCATTTTCAGAACAACTTTTTCCTTGTTTAAAAAAAATGGAGTTTTGCCTTCAAGGGTCACTAGTTTTTTTCTTTCCTTTCTTAATGCCCGTAGAGCGATGATGTCTCACATTATTAACACTCGTCTCCAGAAAATTAGAAAAGAGAGGAAGCAGATGTCAGAATTGAATACATCTCTTTTAATTTGCATTTTTATCACTATAATCTTGAACATCAGCTACTTGTATTCATGACGCCTGGTTGGTTGATGACACTGTCACTGAATACCAATAAGGAAGATGTGTTAAGACAAACAAACACTAAATTATTTTATGAAGGTGGAGGGAAGCATTGCTTTAACAGCTGATCTGGCAAATACTCTTCAGAAGTTTTCTATATAGTACAAAACAACTACTCAACCTTTTACATTACAGTCTATGAATTTCTGTTTTTGAAGTATGGGTGCTATGTGGGTTGCACGCTCAGTCTCTGGGTGATCAGTTTACCAGTTGGTCACTGCAACTAGCGTGACTACTGTGAATAAAAATCCTTAGGAATTCTTAAAATCTCATCATAGCAATATTTACCATTTAAGAGGTTGAAACTGTTAGTTCTTCAATTCTTTTTGCTTCTGAAGTTATTTAGTCATGTCACTGTGAGAATTCTTAGACAGCTCTGTTTTTCATCCCTCTACAAATTAGATTGTGCGGTGTTACTGTATTATTAAACTGTAGATATATAGTTTGACTAGATTTGATAGTTTATATATAAAATAACGCTGATTGAACTCCTGAAAGGACGATGAAGCAGAGGATGATTGAAATTGGAAATGGAAATAATTTGGCACAGATATTCTTGGTTGGAAACAAGCTCCTGCTTTACACAGATCATGGGATTTGACTACCTTAATTGCAACAACCTGTAGCATGCAATGTGGTGGTAGCAAAACCTCCAAATCTGAAGCCAGAAACCAGTGGCATGCTCCTCTGTGGTTGACAGAAATGCTACCCTAGCTAAAGGTTTAACTCTCCGAGGATCTTGACGCAACATGGAGCATGAGCTCAACTGGCGAATTGTGCGTGGTCAGCTTAACCGTTGTGGTGAACCAGTCGGATTATGTGCCAACCATCACTTATGGGCTTCACATATGGCCACAAAAATGAGGTCAATGATACAACCAAAATGCGCTTCCTCCGTAGGGTGGCTCGGTTTGATCTCAGAGGTGTGGAGAGGAGCTCGGACATGCAGAGGGAGCACAGAGTGGGACGCCTGCTACTTTACACTTTAATAAACAAACTTAGGCAATGCTAAACCAAATGCTTATTTTGCACCTCAGTATTCTATTTGAGCTGACAGCAGGGTGTTTACTTGCACAGAGTGTATTTCTGATGTTCATTTTCATTGAAAGTTTGGCTTGAATTTTTATTTCTATGGTTTTAAAAGTGTTTTTTTGTTGTTGTTTTTTTTGAGAGAGGAGAGAGAGTTTTCAAATGGCTTTATGCTGTCAGTGACTTTTAGTGAGGTGACTGAGCACAACAAAGTGGAGGTTCATGGAGCTTTTATGCCAGCAAGGCAGCTTAGTCATCACGACTGTTGATTCTGTAAGGGTCAGAAGGTATGTGACACACTGGGAGGTCATAAATTCTTTCTGCTGGTTGTGCCACCTGATGGCTGGTCACTATGGTAACATCAGCACTAAATTAAACTGAAGCGAGTCGATTTAATTTTTTAAAAAAAAGAATAATAAAATGTGCTTTAAGAAGACTGCAGACAAACATTACTACTGATACAGAAACACATCTGTGGGCTGAGGCCAAAACCCACTAACTCATCAACTGTTTTCTGATCCCATACAGAGCTTGCACTAATGCTGTTAGCACTTACAGGACACAGCCTCAAACTAGTCCAGTGTTGACAAGCAGGGCAAGAAAGGATTTGGTCCTTCAGTCATGTGTGTATTGTGTTGTGGCTTTTAGGCCACGCTTCATCCATTTATACTCATTCAGCTGAGAATGAGTGCTTTACAATGAAATCTTTTCTGCCTTTACACCTTTCTACTGTGAGGAGATAGAGCAGATGCCTGACAGGAGATAGAAAGCGTCTAAGTTGTTTTTGCCTGACCTGCCTTTTCAGAGCAGGGCCGAAGGAGGAAAAAGGAGGAGATGAGCAGAGGCACTAAAGTCGGTGTGCCTGCGGGTAAAGTGAAATCCAGTCAAAAGTAGAAATTCAGAGTTTGGAGTATATTTTTTTTAACAACAGACTGCTGTTTGTTTGAAATGCCTTAGAAGGAGGAAAAAGGAGAAATTTCTCAATGTGCTGAAATACAAACACCCCCACCACCCCACCAAACAAAAAAATAAAAGCAACAAAGAGCTGCATCTACAATACAATAATAATAACTAGAATTATTCAGAGAGTACAAAGTTCTGCCGAGGTGGCTCAGTCTCTGGGCAGTATTTACTTTTAAGGGAATAGTATAGTAGGAGTAACCTGTAAATAACTGAACATGAATAAGGTACATATATAATATTATATAATCTAATACTACCGTATATTGCTAATTAACTGGGCACCTCATTCTCTTTCCTTTTGCAATATTTTCTTTGAAGATAAACAATTTTTGGGGTCATCTTAAAAGAAATGCAGATGTGAAATCAAAAGTGAGGTCAGAGGTCATATGACATGGTTTTTGGAGGCAAAAGAATCCCCCTATATTGTTCCCTGTATTCCTATTTATTAATGCAATAGCAGTAAGAAACATAGTTTTAAATAGCTTCTCACTTTGACCTTAGATCAGTCTATTAACCTAAAAGGAGAGGTCAGAGGTCAAATGTGATGTGATATTTGAAATCTTTATACAGTACTGTCTACATGTTGACAACACACACCACACTTGTAAGAATTATAGTTGCTTTTTGTCAGTTTTCCACCAATAAATCTTGAAGACCTCGGGCGATGTAAGCCACATTTCACTAGATTGTTAACATGACCTCAAGTTTACACCCTTGAAAAAAGTAATGAGAAATTATTCAGAAACTTTCCAGCTAGTGAGTACTATGTGTCATTTTTGTCTCATTTTTGTCATTTATGTCGAATTTTTCTTCTTCTTGACATAAAAAGTTTAAATGGAAACTTCAATCTTTACCTAAACCTTTATTTATTTTTATTTTTTTTAAATTAAAGAAAATACAACATGTAACTGACGCATTTCTTTTTTAAAAACTGATATAGCTGGGCAACATGTTCAGGATGTAAGCTTTGGATGAAAGCAAGTCCACTGAGTCCAAGAGTAATAATTCCACATTTACAGTACATTGGTAGAAACATAGTCTCACGGGTGAAAGCCCGTTCATTTCTTTGTAGCTCTGCCTCTTCCTTATGTAGACTTTGTGACTCTGCATTTTTTTCCACTACAGGACGATTCAGTTTCAGTATTTTTCCTTCTGGGTAAACACCTGCAGAAACCCAGTCAGAGGAAGCCTAAGGAGAAAGATGCCACACTAGATGAAGTCGATTAGAAAATGCAACGCAGCAAAGAGTTTTTAATTTTTCTTTAAAACCAAATGTCAACACAAAAATGCAGCTGATAACACTCTGAGAATCACAGCTACATTTATTTGTCTTTCTTTGTCTCCTCACCCTCGCAGAGCCAGGCCATGCGTATCGTTCGGACAGTCGGGCAGGCGTTTGAAGTTTGTCACAAACTGAGTCTGCAGCACACGCAGCAGAACACAGATGGACAGGACGACCACCACAGCGACAAGAACAGCAATGACTCCTCCGTCACAGGTAGACACGAACACCATTCCATCTTTTATTCTATTAAAGCACTTCTGCTGTGGCCTCAAGTCTGTTAAAAAGTGCTTACTGCAAGTTCAGTTGTGCATACTGCGATCACTTTGGAGAATGCTGGAGCTGCAGAGGCACTAAAGACTGCAAGGTGAAAGTTGCGTGCGAGTTTTCAATTTGAATTGAACTCATTAAAAGACAAAAAGTAGACGTGAGCTCACTGAGGAGAGGTCAGGAGCAAATGCAACGATTGATTGAGTGACATTTTGTCTCAGGGTAATTCATTTGTTGTTTTACCTTCAGCAGGCGTTGTTAGTGAACGCTGACAGGCAAGTTCATACAGAGACAGTCTAAGATTGTTTTTCTGTGAGATGCCAGAAGTGTTATTTTGCCATGTAAAGCGCCCACTTAGATAAAACGCACTGTGATTTTAAGACGAGTAAATACAGCTGTTTACGAGGTTTACTTTCAGATGAGAACTGCGCAGGGAGTGAGCGGATAGATAGACGTGTGTGGGTTGATGTAATGTAGTGCTTCAGAGGCATGTGCTGTGATTGTGCTGTGAAGGAGACTCGAGGCTTGTTTGGCTGTGGCAGTAAAAACATTGTCGGTGTGTCTAAAATTAAAAGCAGACCTTGAGAGCAGACTTTCTGGACCATTTTCATGTGCCAACAAAGGGCACATCGCTGATAGACACAGCCAGGCTTGTGCTGCCGATAGACTGATAGACCTTGTCTTTTTTTTAGACGCCCATAACAAAACATTGTTAAATTGAGTGCCTAAATTGTGGGTGGATTCAGTGCTGCTCTTTCATATTAGCTGGAGGTTGTCCAGGTGGCTGAGTGAATAAGACTCATACTTGCAATTTCCATCCTGTGTAATTTCCCCCTGCCTCGCTTATTTCCAATCACCTCTCTGCTTCTGCATTCATAGAAATGCAGAAACTATCCCCAAGATAATTTATGGTTACAGTTGATATGAACATCATTCAAAATGGCATGTTTATGCCTTTTTACTGCAAAAGCTTTTTTTTTTTTTTTGTTCCATCCTCATTATGCAGCAAGTCTCTCTTCACCTTTGTCTTTCCTCTCAAGAAAGATGTTCTCTGTTTGGATGCTGCACTGTTGCCATAACACTGTAGCATCCAAACAGACTGATGGCTGTTGGTTTTTGCCTGCTCTGCCCCTTGGTTCACCACCATGAGACTAATTTACGACGTAACCAATTCATTATTTTTATCTTCTGATAAAATCTAAAGTGATGCCTCCTGTTTTAACATAAATCTGTTGTATAAACTAAATCCGATATAAATTTAGCAGCTATTCTCCTCAAGGTGGCCTCGTTGCCAGCCTCTGGTCTGTTTGTCCCCATCAGCATCAATGTGTAACATACGTGAAGTGGACTACAGTAGAGATATCAAGGTCCTTTGATGTCTAAAATAGAAGCCGTGCAACCACTGGCAACTGAGAATATTAAGAATAGTAACTGAGGGAATGTTGTAGAAGTTTGTTAGTGTCTTTCCGTAACAAAACGTAAAAGCAAAACTGGAAGACATGAAACTGATTTAAAATATTAATATAATACAATTATAATTATAAAATAAGTATTTACTAATAGTCCATAAGCACAAATCTGTGTGTAACCTACGCGCATGAACATTCATCATCATCATCATCATTCATCAGCCATTTATAATATTTGTATCTGAATTTATTTGTACAAACAAATTTAAGTGTCTCTGACCATCTGGACAAGCAAATGAAGTATTATTATCCTTATTATTGTTATTAATGCTAAAAATTACAGTTGAATTTTAAATGATAAAAGAATTATTACATTTAATATAAAGAAAACAGAAGATTCAGTTGAAAGGTGTAGGCTTTTAATTTGAACCTGTGTTCTTTGTCGTCTCTTAAATTATCGTATCTTTCATTAAAAATGACATATCGTTGCTGGATGCAACAGGCTAATTTCGTCGCATTATTCCAGTCTGCCCTGAGTTTCTGATCTCTTTTGATGTCCAAATTTATTTCCTTTATTTGAGCCACGGTGGGTGTCTCCGAGGAAACCATATTCAAAACTTCTATAATTTCAGCCAGTTCAATTCAGTTTTATTTATACAGCACCAAATCACAAAAGCAGTCGCTTCAAGGTGGTTTATTTTGTAAGGTAGACCCCACAATAATACACGCAGAGAAAGACCCAACAATCATATGACCCCCTATGAGCAAGCACTTTGGTGACAGTGGGAAGGAAAAACTCCCTTTTAACAGGAAGAAACCTCCGGCAGAACCAGGCTCAGGGAGGGGCGACGATCTGCCACGAACGGTTGGGGTGAGAGAAGGAAAACAAGATGAAAGACATGCTGTGGAAGAGAGACAGAGATTAATTACAAGTAATGAGTCAATGCAAAGAGGTCTATTAACACATAGTAAATGAGAAAGGAGCCTTTGGACATAACTGTTTTAATTTCTTCAGCTGGACTTTCTGCTGATTTCTTGCCTTAGAAGTACAGTAGCGTCACCGCTTTCTCTGTTCACCTGGAGGCATTTCCTTAGAAAGAGAAATGTGGGTGGAAGAGTATGGTGATTATACGAGACTGTTGCTTCAGAACTGTTCTCGTTTATTAACAAATGTAAGAACAAAAATAGGCCGGTCACATTTCATTAATTGGACAGTAGTATAGCATACGTGTTTATTTTTACACTGTGTAAGAATGTACATATGAGTACATGAAGACCATTGGGTTTATACCATATTAGTTGTGTTTGGGCTCATTGTCATGCTGAAAAATAGAGATGTTGCCAATCCTTGAGTTGATACCCAGGTTATCGGCTTTTCTAACTCGTCTAACGTTGTGTTGTCAGTTTCAGTTTTAACCTTGAGATAGGAAAGAGTCTCGGGAAGAACCAGTGAGAGTCCATTAGCACTTGTTCTATCAGATTGCAATCCTAAAAAGTATGTTTTTAATGCCCTAAGCAAAATGGGAAAGAAGTGTCATCAGTTCCATTGTGGAAGTCCTAAAAGTAAAGCAAAATCTGAAGGGCTGTCAGCACATTCCCCAGTGCCCACAAACACCTACACACTTCGCATAGTCATGTGTCCTCAGACTGCACTAACAGGTTGTACTGGAGACGCACTGCACATACACAGCTGTAGATGTGCTGTAGATGAGATTCCTGCCTGTATTGTGCCCAAACTGGAAAGAAGGAGAATGGTATGCTAGAGCGAATATCATGGATGAGTCAACACAGAGAAACGGCACAACAACACTGGTGGTCTGAGCTACTTTTATCCGCTGCCTGATGTCTGGACGGCTTGGGTTGTGTGGCAGCCCGGGGACACGTGGCTCTCAGTGGGGTCCTGAGAGGACAAGACAAGGAGTCATCAAATGCAGCTCTTTTACACCATTGTTCCAGATCTTACAGCGGCCAGCTGCTGGTCGTCCTCCCTGCCCTGATCTACACCGGGCAGGGATATGTTATCTGCAGATTCCCCTCCAGCCCTCCAAAGACGAGCTCGTTTTCACATGCTGATGAGCCCGGAGATCACCCACACACTCTAACTGTGCATCGCACACACATTGTAAAGAGGACCTCACATGCATACAAGGAGAGGTCTGTACACATGCACTCACTGTCACAGTGTGTTAAATAACACAAGCACCGTCACGCAAAGCCAATGTGCTTATCTGAAGAACTAATTATCATGGCAATGAGAGGAGAGGGGAGGGGAAAAAAAAGGGGGAGATAGTGTGCTGGAGGAAGGCATATCTAGTTGAGATGAGGAAGAGGAAATGATGTTAGAGGGGAAAATAAACTCAGGAGGAGGATGAAAGGAAGAAGAAAGACCAAATGTAGATTAGAAAAGAGGAGAGGGGATGGAGAACTGGGTTGAACAGCAGGGAGTCACAAGAAGGAAGAAAAGGAAGAGAAGAAAGTGTGCAGCAATGTTTCTGTACTGTTTCAGAGGAGTTGTCCAACCCAGACTGAGTAATATAAACAACAAAGAGCTTTGTAAAGTCAGCTTCCAACCTTGGAACTGGATCTAACGAAGCCCACTGAATGATAACAAATGCCAGTGTCATTACAGTTCAATTTAGCATGAGTTATAACAGAGCCACAGGCGTGAATATCCATTCAGCAGTAACTAGATAGTCAATGAATGCTAAGTATACTGGGTAAAAAGCCCACGGGCTATATGATAACTTTTTTAGCTACAGTTTAAAAGCACACAAAACAAAAACTGTTTATTTGAGCAAGTTATTTTGATTCAGTCAGTGTGATTTTTGACTATTTTATTCATGGAGTGACAAAAAGCAACACAACTGCACCTGCTTCCAGTTCATTTATACCTGTTTAACCCTTTTTTCAACTAAGAAACAGTAAAAGCTCAAAGTAATTTTGGTCATTTTAACAATGAATTGAAGCGCTAGTGATTCCACAGTTTTCTTCCCCTTCTCTTTCAATTCACGCTCACTTATAGAGTAATGAACCACTGCTGCTGCTGCTACTTTGGTTTTAAAAGATTTAGAATATTCCAGTAGCTTAAACAAGGTAAATTACTGAATCTGATTACATTTTTATAACCCCCCCGTTCCCTGTACTAATCAGAAAAATATTCACTGCATATAAGTTTCCATGCAGATGAGTCTAATTAATGGTTGCCCACAGTGCACTCATGTTGTCTCCAGGCTTCCCTCAGCGTTTTGGAGACAAAGAAGGGTTCAGTTCCCCCTTCCCTCAGGTCAACCCTGCCCTTCCCTTACTTGCACTTCTGCCGAGGCACTGGAGACCTCTGCCACCTGGGCCTCTTGTCACCACCGTCTGCACCCACAGTGGACATGGGTGGGCACTGAGGCTGAAGGCAGCTGGCAGCTGACTTTCTTATATGAGCTGTGGTTTGAGCCTAAAGCTTAATTTGGACTTCTGCAGTGAATCTGTGTAGAGCCTGCAGTGTAACATGCACAGGTGGCTAATTTTACATATCACTTTTCATTTGAATTATAAACTTCGGGGAAATCTACTTTGCTAAACCTTTATAAAGTGCTTGAAATAATAGTTATGCCATATTCATCATACCAGGGTCCACATTCCAAGAGGAAGTGTTGCTGTATGTAATCATTTATCCAAGACGTATAACGCTTGCTCTCTTTAGTCATTTGTAAATGGCTCCCACCCAGGCCCATGTATGCACCATTTCTCAATTTGCAACAGTCTCCCCGCAAAGGAGCTTAGCTCTTTTCTTCTCTCAGTGTAATTAACAATAACAAAGTCATCTGGAAAGAGTTGAGGCTGAACTGGGAAGCAAAGACAACAGGGGGAAATTATGTCAGTAGCAGAGAGCACGGGTAAACACCGGGCAGCAGAGCTTTGCCAGTTGAGTAGAAAGGGTGAGTATTACGAGGTGTAATGGAGGAAAAGGTGAGAGTAGTACTGGCAGCAGGTTTTGAATGGTAAGTATTGGAGATGACGAGCTGTGCTCCTTCCAAACTATTGGAGAGGAGGTTTGAGTGGAGGGGGAGGAGAGGATTAATAGCTGGGTGCACAAGAGGGGAAAACGAGCTGAGAGAAGTGACACCCTGTGTGGTCTTCTGCTGCTGGAGCCCATCTGCTTTAATGTTTGATTCAGACATGCATTCTTCTGCATACCAGGAACATACAGTGCAGATTTTATCCTGTCACTGAATCGAATTGAATTGAATAGACTGGTTGTAACGAGCTCGGAAAGAACTTGATACTTCCTTTTCACACCATTCTTTGTAACCCTAGAGATTGTTGTGTGAGAAAATCCCAGTAGATCGCCATTTCTGAAATACTCAGACCATCAACCATAACACATTTTCTTTCCCATTCTGATGCTCTGTTTTAACCTCAGCAAGTCATCTAGACCATGCCTACATACCTAAATGCATTGAGTTGCTGCCATGTGATTGGATGATTTGATATTTGTGTTAACGAGCAGGTGAATAGATGAAAGTGAGTGTATTTCCACTATATATTCTTATATTCATGCTTATTCGCTTTATTTCGTGATAGCCAGTGGTGGGCAGATGGATTTGCCAGCTGATATAGTTTTGCCAGTGAAGGGAGTGCAGCCCCTATGCCAGTCAAGTGTATTTTTAACAGCTAGAAAACAAATGCAATTTTGTTTTGTGGGCAGTTTTCAAGTGCAGTGCAGTTTTGCAGTTTTATGGAATAAAATATGGAAACACAGGCTTTCCTTGGTTACAAGGTTCACATTGAATTGGGTGAAGACAATTCCAGGTGCTGGGAGGAAGTGTTTCAGTGACTGTGACAAAGTTCTACAGAGGAAATATCTGAAGGCAGGAGGAATCTCATAACTGAGAAATCATTGCTGGCATATATCAAGTTAAATCAACATATTTCTGCTTTTTTAATTGACTTTAATGGTACTTTTTAAAAATGTCTTTCAGTGCATCGATCTCTCATAAACTGTGGCAGCTTTCAACAGTGTTTTTACTAAATTAACATGTTTGGATTGCTGGAACTATTAACAGCAACAAAAGTAGTCTTTACCAAATAAAAGGAAAATGGATATCTCCATTAAAATTTTGATTAAAAGCGATGGGGCCACAAGCAGAAGAGTGGGAGGGCTGGCTGTGAACAGCAGCTGTTTTGATTTTGTGTCACAGGAAGCAATTTTGTTGATCATCACAGTTAATATCTGCTTTGTAAAAACTCAGAAACCACCACTGATTTCTGTATTGGAAATAAATTAACAGCAACAGGAACACTAAATGGAAACTCAGGAAGCCAGAGTGTGCTCCCAACAGGACATTTATTTTAAATTTACATTAAATTTGACATCTGTGTGGCAATAAAAAAAACTTGTCAACTATTTAGCATACTGTGGCTGTGTGGAAACTTTTCTCTTAAACGCTTTTATGTTTGTCCACCCATGTGTGTGTGCGTACATGCTCACGCCTACATGTGTGTGTGTGCAGGTGTGCGTGCTTATCCACCTGTGTGTGTATGTACTTTCCTGGGCTCAGTTCGGGAGCTAACAGGTGCAGAGAAGACGGCGACAGTCGCTGAAGAGACCGACATTGATGCCGAGGAGGTGAGCCAGGCGCTAGCAGCAGAGGATCTGAACCTCAACAGAGGAGTGACTGACCTGGACGCCACAGCCAAGACAACAGATGTGAACCTCTCAGAAAACAAGGTAGGCAAACACTGTGTGTACAGATAGGCAATGTGGTTGCCGAGGTTCATGTATGTTCTCTGTATGTGTGGCAGCAGCTTGGCATTACAGTTGGCAAATGGAGAGGCCTTTAGCGCTTTTCTAGTCACTTTATTCTCTAAATTTGAAGCACTTTATCTACTGCACATCCGTGTCTGTTTTGGAATCAACAATGAATCTCACACATGTACGAGGTGGCAGGAAGGCTCTTTTACAAAAGATCCCAAACAGAAAAGCCCAACGTGACCAGAAGAGTCAAACTAGTTATGGTAAAGTTGCAGAGCAATTAGTGGTTGGAGACCACATCAGTACCAAGATTATTGCCACTGTACTGCATGCAATGAACTCACACTCTTCTTGTTTCAAAGACAGGGACAAAGGCCACAACCACATGCAAACAGCTGCCATCTTCAAAGCAACTTTGGTGCATCAAAGCAGTGATAAATGACACAGTCAGTCTGCTATTAGTTTGTGATCGAATGTGGTCAAGTTACAATTACGTGCAATCTGTTTGTGATAATGCAGCACTTGACTTTTACAAATCTGTTGCCATCTACGTACAAAGAAAGACGCTCACTTTGCTTTATAAAAAATATACGAAGTTGCCAACCAGTTGATTCAAGTCCCTGATTGCAAAGTGACGAGTTGCAGACGAGTTGTTTGGCACACTCTGATTGATTGTAAAGTGTTGGCAATCTGTGTTTGTAAATTAGACAGCAGTTATTTTGCAAACCTTTAGCAATTCTGAGAGTAGCTGCAGGACTATCTGTGTCGGGCCACGACTGTATGGAGGCAGGTCGCTTTCAGCTAGGTGTTTCACAGGTGCTAACTGTGTTACTACGTGGCGATCAAAAGTGGTCGAGGGTGTCGTACACTCAGTCATTTAGCCACCACAGCTGCTTGAAATCAGTTGTCAAATGTAAATATTCAATGCAGTCAACTGTCAAACTCCATTTTTTTTCATAGATCTAGGACGGTTGCTGTCCTGCTTTCATTCTAATGTTCCAATATTCAAACTGAGCCATCAGCAGAAACCAAATGAACACTTTAAGTTGTAAAATATATATTTTTTAAATGTAAGTAGTTTTTTTATGCCTTGCTTTATGAAACATGACCTTTGCCCCTATGTCAGCGTTCCCCAACCTTTTTTGCGCAACGGACCGGTTTATGTTTAGACTTTATAGAGATTTCTCGAAGGCTTTCTTTAATGTAAGATTTACTTGAGAAATCATAAAGTTTTCATTTTCATTTGAAGATAAATGCATGTAGTAAACTCCACTAAAATCAATGTTACACCAGCTCTGTGCTTGTGTATGGCATGACTGTTAAGAAAGTAGCTCCCACTTGGTTTCTTTCAGGAGCTGTTAGCAGTGTGTTGGCAACTGAGCGCAAGGATGGCCAGTTCACGTCTTTGCATGGCCTTGTAGTGTTAGGGATTTGATACTGCTCAGTCAGACCATCTGCTCTCTGGCCTGTGAAAACTCACCACTAGCATCTATCTATAACCAGGGAAAGGCTGTCTGGCCTGTCGGAAGGTGTGAGAGCATGGTTGTTTGGCCTGCTGGCAGAGCAGCATAGTAACTGTTTTTTACTGGATTTACAGTTGTATGCAGGGGTGTAATTGTGTTTTTGATAGAGGAGGCAGTGGGAGGGAAACTCTACGTGATGAGGGCAGAGATGGGGTGCAGGGTGATGTTTATTATGCTACTGTTTGGCTCAAGACCTAGGGCTCCATATCAAGTTGGCAACAGCGGTGCATTGTAATAATTTTATTACGTTTTTATTATTTATAGCTTCCCATAGCCTGGCTTTGCTCAGTAGTGAGTGGACAAGTATAGAAGAAAAGCCTGGACTGCTTTTATTTGTTACTTTCTATATTCATTCTTTTGAACCTGTAAAACATTGTCACAGTTACAGATAAGTCACGCAGAAGTCAATCCTAACTTTAAGCTATAGCGTTTTTGTTTTTTTTGTATAACTTTATCAGTCTCTCACATCTTTGTGGAGGAATTTGGGTCCATACTTCTTGACAGCATTGCTACAGTTCCTTGGTAGTTGTGGGCATTTAGTGTTGCACAGCTCCATTAGTGTCCCACGTTACAGTCAGATTGGAGTTTGGACTTTTACTGGGCTCTTGCAACATCTCAATTCTTGAATTCTTCAGTGATTCTGTTGCATTTTCCTTTTGCATGATTCAACTTTAGCCAAGTTTTAGCTGTTGGACAATACTTTGGTATACAGAGTTTGCGGTGAGCTAAACAAGTGCAAGGTGTCCAGATCCTGTGGCTGCAAAACAAGCCCAAACTATCACCCCTCTGCAACTCTGTTTGACTGCTGGTAGGACTGTGCTGATGTCATGCATTTAGCTTTTCTTAAATGTGGTGCTGACGGTTAAGACAAGATAAGATAAGATAAGATAAGATAAGATAAGATAAGATAAGATAACCTTTATTAGTCCCACGTGTGGGAAATTTGTTTTGTTACAGCAGTGGACAGTGCAAGTTGCATAGAAAAATTAGAGAAAAAACACTGGAATAATATATCTATGAGATACTGTACACAATAGAATAGAATAAAATAAAATAAAATACTATATACAATCGAATAAAATAGAATACAAATGTTATATACAATTGAGTATAATACAACGATGCCAGAAAAGAGTATTGCACTTAGTGTTATTGCACATGTGTGGATGTGTGTGTTTGATCAGTTGAAGTCTTTGTTGTGGAGTCTGACAGCAATGGGGAGGAAAGACCTGCAAAATCTCTCCGTCCCACACCGTGGGTGCCGCAGCTTGCCACTGAAGGAGCTGCTCAGTGCTGTCAGAGTCTCCTGCATGGGGTGGGAGATGTTGTCCAACAGGGATGACAGCTTAGCCACCATTCTCCTGTCACTCACCACCTCCACTGGATCCAGAGGGCATCCTAGAACAGAGCTGGCCCTTCTGATCAGTCTGTTCTCTTCCTGTCTCCGGCAGAGATGTTGCCGCCCCAGCAGACCACACCGTAAAAGATGGCTGAGGCCACCGCAGAGTCATAGAAGGTCTTCAGAACTGGGCCCTTCACTCTAAAAGACCTGAGTTTAGGGCCAAACATCTCCAGTTTGGTTTTCTTTGTCCAAAGGGCATTCTTAAAGAAGTCTTGTGGTTTGTTAAGATGCAATTTTGGAAACCTGAGTTGTGCTGCCATCGTCTTTTTTAGAGAGAAGACTTGTTCAGTCTTTTGTGTTGTACTGGGACTAAAATGCCAACTGAGGCTTATAGAGTCTGTAGCTGTTGGGTTTGTTGCAGTTTCTCTGATCTCAGAGTGAACTTGCTGGCACGTACACTACTGACGTGTACCTGACATTAAAGTATATAAAGTACATTAAACTCCTTCTGTAGAGGTGCTCACACAGACAGATGTGCAGTTAATAAAGTACATTTGAATAGCAGCACCTGGCAGCTACCTACTTGCTTAAATTCTTATAGAAGGAGTCAAAGTATACTTTCACCTTTTTCACAGGACAACATAGAGCTCTGTGGAGATGTTCGTTTTTACTTTTGCTGTGCTGTAGGACTTTGTGCATACCACTGACATGCCAACTACCCTGGCAAAACAGCAGCATTTAACACCCTGGGAAGGAGAACAGGCTCTCCAGACAGGCTACTGTTTTCGCCTTTCTGTAAGCTTTATTCAGGCTAGTATTCATTTTCTAAAAAGAATGTTAATAAGAGTCATGAACAGACTGCTGTTGTCTAGCCTGAATAAAACAATGCACCAAGATTTATTACTGAGTGCTCTTCAGTGAAAGGCTGTGGCCTGAAGAGTTGCCAGTTTTTGGGACAAAGTTGCAACATTTGCCAAACATTTCTGCTACTTAGCAAATTAAAGAGTTGCATTATTTATTCCCTCTGATGCTCAGACGGTCACATTCACCCCGACTGATTTGGAGTTTAGTTTTTGTTTATATATCTTTTTAATTTCTTGATGGTCTTTTTTTCATCAGATCTCATAAAACGCTCAGGGCTGTGCTTAACTCCGGGTAACCAGGCTGTTCCTTATTCATCTTCAGTCAATGCTAAATAGTGAAACAGATGAGCTCCTAGGCAACACTCCAGGCCAGCGTTAAGTAAACGTCTCATCAAGACCCACACAAGAGTGTTATGTCACCTCAGGCTTCAGGCGCACCGAAACATACCTGTTAACACACCACGTGAAGAGATGCCAGATGCTAAATCAGAGTTATAAAACCAAGCTATTCATCTGGTTAACAGTCCTTGGGTCCCATTAACGTTAGTTATGAGACCCTTCATTACAGCTCCTGATTGAAAGCAACATGGCGTGAAATCACTGAAACAACGAGCTCTCGGCAGTGACCTCTATTCTCAGGTCACCGGAGGGAGCGAATGTCTGTGTGCGTGACACATTGTCGTGTGTTCATGTAGTGTGCGTATTATTATTTTTTAAAATTTTCTCTCCTCTACACATATCATCAATCTTGCACTTTGACAGATTAAATGGAAATGTGCAGGGACAAGTGGGGGAAGGTAACAGTGAATAAGATGTGTGTGTGCCTCCTGTGCGCTTTGCGTTATGCATATATATATACACATATACATATATATATACTATATATATATATATAATATCATATTATAATATATATATATATATATATCATATATATACATATAATATATATAATATATATATATATATAATAAATATATATATATATATCATATACATATATATATATATATATATATACATATACATATATATATAGACATATATATACATAACATTACAATATAAATTATATATATATCAATATTAATTATACATACAACATATAATATATAATATTACATACATACAATATTATATATACTATATATAATTATATATTATAGAATAACATTACATACAATATTATATATAACTATATAATATATATATATATACATACATTACAACAAATATAAATATATATAT